AGATTTTACGCTCCCCTTCTGCTCTCAATGTGATATATCAATAGAAGCCCTCTCTGAAAGACACTTTCCTACACCTGTACAACTGGTGGATCCCATAATATTGGACATTCAAAGTCCATCCAGGGTAAATTGCCCACCCATTTTGGCGCAACTTAAGGATCCCTCCTTGGGGCTGGGGATGTGGCTCAAGCGGTAGGGCGCTCGCCTGGCATGCGTGCAGCCCAGGTTCGATCCTCAGCACCACATACCAACAAAGATGTTGTGTCCACCAACTAAAAAATAAATATTAAAAATTCTCTCTGTCTCTCTCCTCTCTCACTCTCTTTAAAAAAAAAAAAAAAGGATCCCTTCTACTTCCCCAGCCAGCCCCCAATATCCTTTATCTACAGYAGCTCTCATTGGCTTAGAACCAATCATAAAAGACTAATAAGGATACATTAGGCCCACACATTCATCATTCAACACCCCCATACTGGCAGTAAAAAAGCCTAATGGCACTTACTTCCTGGTTCAAGATSTTCACCTCATTAATTCCACTATTAAATCCATCCACCCGCTGGTTCCCAACCCCTATACCCTTTTGTCACAAATTCCTACCGTAACCACCCACTTTTCTGTCATCAACTTAAAGGACTAAACTACATCCTTTAGCCCTTCTCTGTCTGCAAGCCCTGCCTAAGAAGCCCTCATCTCTCTCTCCCTTTGAGGTCATGTATGGACGCCCAATCCTTCTCTGGGCCTTACCCCATCATCTTGGCCCATCCCCAGTTGCTACRCGTTACCACTTCTTTCTCATCTCTGTGCTGAGATCTGGAAACATCAGGACTGGCTTCTTCCAGATCTGGAAGCCTCCCAGATCCCTCTCTCCATGTTGCCTGGCCAATCTGCCCTCTTTAATCTGCCAGGAGACAAGGGTCCCCTACTACCAAAGTGGGAAAGTCCAACACAAGTTGTATTATGTATTCCAACTGCACCCAGGCTAGCACTCCCTAATAACCAATTAACTCCTTGGATTCATATTTCCAGGCTCAAGCCAACCTACGATTCATCTGCATGCAGAGCAGTCTAAGCTCCATCTGTCTCGGGTAGCGCTTCTTGAACCCACATTGGAAAATGAACCCTTGGGTTTCTAAGCTGCTCCTTTTCTTAATTCTCATAAGCCTTATTCTTATGGTCTCTTCTTCCCCTTATGTCTGGAGATTTAAGGCTTGACAAACCTATACTGAAAAAAATACTAAAACTACAGCCCTAACTGCAATGGCAGACTGCCCCCTGCATGGTTGCTCTGACACTGAGTACTTATTCTTACCTGCCTCAAAAAAATTATTCAGCAGTCTGAGGCCATATCTTTGTTTCCTATATGATCAATGGGATGAACAATGCCGTTGGTGGCCAGAGGTATATGGGGGAATGTCCATATTCAGGCCAATTAAACATGGGACTATTCTCCTATGTTAGCCAGATTCAAAAATATAACATCACCATCAAGGACCCATGGGACCCACAATGGGCTGCAGGGGTCATCGCCTTCTTCTATCTCAAGTTTCTTGAGTGTCCTCTGACATTCGGCATTCAGAAGAGGTTATCATATAGGCAATTCGAGACTCCTCTTCCTCTTCAGCCTCTTCTTCACCCACAATGTCTTACTCTTGGCTCCAGATCCTAACAGATACTTAACAAAACATCAATAAACTTAATGATCTGGCAGCAGGCTAACGGAAGACATCTCAAACCTCTCCTTTTTTCTTCTGGCTCCAGTCACCCCTCTTGACATGGATGTGGCCAATAATTGGACCGCTCTCCATTATTCTGTTGGCCTGCCTCTTTCTCCCTTGCATGATTAAATTTGCTCAAAATCAGATAGCAAAAATCTCTAACCAATCTTTTAACCAGCTCCTTCTTAGGAATTACCAACTACTGGTCCCAGAAGATCCTGATCAGTCTTCCACCACTCAACTCAYGGCCTGCTAAATGGCAGATCCATGGAAAACCTTTTTGGACGCCCTTCGCCATGAACACTGAGGAGATTAGTGGGATGCGATCCAGGACCTATGGTTTCAGGGTACTTTTTTGGACCTGGCCCCATCAGAAGTCTTTAGTTTTTCAGTGCTGCTTTGGGGATTAACCTCAGGGTAATCCAGTGTTCTCCCCACCCCTTCCTGGCAACGCCCCTGCTCAGGAGGAAGCAGTCAGAACAAACACCGACCCTACACCCATTATTAAACTAAAAAGGGGAAAATATTGGGTTACCTGCCCCAAGATGGTGCTGACTAGGCTTCTCTTCTGGGTCTGTTTCCCACTTTATGCAGATTAAAGCACCAATAAGTCACCAATGGGCGACTGACAAAACCATTCTAATGACTATAATCCAATGAGAATTTGCTTCCTGTCCTAAGGGGCTCTGCCTACCCTGGATAAAAGGCTCTGCTATACTGGAATAAACGGACTTCTCTGATGGGTAACTCCATGTCTCGGTTTCAGTTCTTTCAGTGATCCTCCTTCCTTAGCCTCCTAGGGCACTGAGATTATAGAAAAGTGCTACTGCACCCAGCTGGATTTTTTTTTTTTTTTACACAGGGTTAGATGATGAAGTTTTAGTTTTTGTAGGCCAAGAGGCAAAATCAAAGATACTTTTTATGTATGCATATAGCCAATTAAAATACTGCTATTTGAAAAATGCAAAAACATTTCTTAATTCAGAGCTGTGCAAAAACAGATCATGGGCCAGTGGCCTTGACAAAATTTATCAACTTCTGGATAAAATAGATATAGATCATATATGGGAAAACAAGCAATTGTTGAATCCAACTAGGTACATGGATAATCATTGTACTAGTCTTTCAAATTCTGTCTTTAAAGATTTTTAAAGATAATAATTGGAAGAAAATGAAAATATATAAAAATAATAATGAAAATAAATATGCATAAGGCTAGCATCCAGAGATGAACACCACTAACATCTCAGTAAATTAATTTTTAGTTTATGGAGCTTGTGTTTTTTATTCCAAGTCTTATAAGATCCTATTCCATATAAAATTTTATAGCTTGCTATTTCATTTAACATGTAATCCCAGTAACTGGGTTAGTGGGGTAGCCGAGGCAGGAAGATCACAAGTTCAAGGCTAGCCTCAACAACTTAGGGAGGCCCTCAGCAACTTATCAAGGATTTAATCCCCAGTACAAAAAAAAATTGATAATTACTATAAATAAAGCAATTTAGTTGTGTATGTGTATATATATGTGTCTTTGTTTCATACATAATATAGGGAAAAACGAGAAAAGATAGTAAAAATTGATGGTCAATAATACTAGAAAAGCCAGGTGCAGGGGCACATGCATTTAATCCCAGCAACTGAAGAGGCTAAGGCAATAAGATTACAAGTTTGAGGCTTGTTACAGCAACTTAAYAAGATCTTGTCTCAAAAAAATAAAAAAGGTTAAGAACGTGGCTCAGTAGTAAAGTGTCCCTGGGTTTAATTCCCAGTATAAAAAAAAATACTATTAGAAAGTATCCATATCTTAAAGTCCTTGTCCTTGTAAATAGTTACTTGAGAGGATAAAGTAAATAATAGGAATAATGAAGAAATAAAGAAAGTTTTTTGATTGTACTAAAATATGTATAATATAAACTTTGCCATTTTAACCATTTTAATTGTACAGCTCAGTGGCATTCAGTATATTCATAATATTGTGCAACTATCACCACTAACCATTTCCAGAACTTTTTCATAATTCCAAACAGAAACTCCATACACATTAAAAAATAACTCCCCATTACTCACTCTCCTTAGACTCTGGTAACCTCTGTTCTACTTTTCTTCTCTGAGAATTTGTCTATTCTGAGTATCTCATATAAGCAGAATCATACAGTATTTTTTCTTTTGTGTCCTGCTTATTTCACTTAGTATAACACTTTTCAAGTTTCATCCATGTTGTAACATGTATCAAAATTTTATTCCTTCTTAAAATTCAATAATATTCCAAGTATGTGTGCATATCACATTTTGCTTATCCATTGATTAACACTTAATTTGCTTCACCTTGCAGCCATTGTGAATAATACTATTCTGATTATGGGTATGCAAATCTCTCTTTGGGACTCTGCTTTCAATTATTTTGAATATATACCTAGAAGTAGAACTGCTGGGTAATATGATAATTCTATGTTCAACATTTTGAGAAAATACCAAACTGTTTTCTGAACAAAGATTTTGATAATATTACATTGGCTATTAAAGATCTTTTCTCCTCAATGTCTGTTCACTTACTGGTTCATAAGGCCAGACCATGATCTGGCCCTAGTACCTGCCCAGTCTCATCTTCTAGCTGGTTCCATCCTTCATTTCATTAAGTCATACTGGCTGCTTATCCACCTGACTCATGGTCTTTGCATAGAAACTTCTCTCCAGATGCACAGAGCCCACACCTGCTTTGCTCAAGCTTTTACTCCAATGTCACCTCTTGAGAGGCCGGCCTACTCTGACTACCCTATCAAAGTAATAGTAATTTTCATTTTCTTTCTAGTACTTACCATTACACAATCAATGGTATGGGTATTTGCTTTTTTCTGTCTTTCCTAGCTCCAGGAGGGCAGAAATTTTGTCTACAATATTGGTTGCTATAAGCCCTGTAAAGAGTCTCATATTCAGTAATTATTAAATAAGTATGTGTTAGATGAATACCAGTCTGGGGTCCAACCATGGTAGAGACTAGGCCTTAATTTGCTAGAATAGTAGGTCTCATCCAAAACTTCTTAGACTGATATGTTTGGTATATTTATTATAGTTGTGGTTATGCTGCATAATAATCCCTTCTATGAATCTACTATGCATGAGTTATGACACAATCTCTTATGTGTAAGTTATGTGATAGCATTTTTTGCTTTTCTAGTTTTTAATTTGAAACATTTTTTTAAATTTTTTTTAATTAGTTGAAACATTTTTAAACTATGGAAAATATACAAGAACAGTACAATGAATACCACATGACTTCCACCCAACTACACCAATTGTTAACGGTTTTACATATGTGCCTTATATCTCCCTCCCCATAGTCATTATTTGTTACTGTATTTGAGAATCTTGAGAAAATTGCCCTTAAATTTCTTGCTAAACTATTCAAAATCTACAAAAGAGCTGACTTTCTCAGGATTTCCAATTTTCAAATCAAATGTCCTCTGAGATATAACTAATCTTGAATAAATCAATTAAATGACTCTTGAAAATTGGACTGGAGTGTAATCAGTAGTAAAATACATGATTAGCAAGAGAAAGGCCCTGGGTTCAATTCCCAGAACCACAAGTAAAAAAAGAAAGGAAGAAAAGAAAAAAATGAACAAACCCAAATGATATTTTTAATAATAATGTCAAATTAACTTTTTGCCAATTAAAGTTAACTTCATGTATTGGGATTTAGAGTTAATAGTTCCCTAATAGTTCCCTAAAGATATGTACTTTTATCTTGTAAATGCTCAAATGCAGAGAAAGAATTCAGCTCCAAACACGTTTTGTCAAAATTAGTATATATGTTCAAGTGTTATATCACACCTTCTTGTAATTTCTCTTTATATAGATTTTGTTCTCCCTCTGTCTTCATTGCAGCTTTGTGGGAAAATTCACCAAGTCTCTGAAATAAAGAGATAGAGGCTTTTAATGTTTTTCTTTTGCTCTACTGCCATCTCATGGACATAAAAGAGAATTCTGAGCTCAGTAAAAAAATTTGCTTGTTTATCTTGGGACACAGCATATTTTACTATAAAATAAACTCTTGGAAACTTACAACTATCATAGTCTTATTTCTTTGCTATAGATTAAGTAAAATTCTTAGCAAAACTGTACTTCAAAAAATCCACCATACACGTAATACACATTGTCCTGAAAACAATACAGGCATTAAGGCTTAGTTTTGTTAGTGACCTTTTGGTCCATTTGGCCTCACAAAGAAGGCCTCCATTTTCCATTTCTATAGAGTCATGTCTTCAGATCTTTGGCAAGGTTATATTCCTTCTTTCAAGTGTTGCAAGTTGGGAGCAGGGAGAAGAAACTAGAGAAAGGAGAGAAAGTCAAAGGAAAGAGGAAGAGAATGAGATAGGGGTATAGATGATAAGGGCAAAAAGATAGACACTAAAGAAATTAAACAGTGGGATGAGAGAAAGTAGAGAGGGAAAGCCATATAATGCTAGAGTAAGAGACTGGGATATGGTTTGAGTATGTTCCTCAAAGTCTCATGTAATGAAAGCATGATCTCTGGTATGGCAACATTGATAGGTGGTGGGAACTCATGGGAGATTATTAGGTCATCATCCTTAGAAGATATTAACAGTTCTCACAAAAGACCAGTTTTGTGAGATTATCATTATAAAAGTTATTATAAAAAGGATAAATCTGATCCCAAAATCTCTCTGATTTCCTGTCTTTCCATGTAATCTCTTGTGCTTACAGAAGGTTCCCTTTTCCTTTCTCTACAATGTTGTGACATAGCTAGGAGGTCCTTGCCAAGAGACTGGCACCATGCTGTTTGGACCCTCCAGCCACCAGAACTGTGAGCTAAATAAACCTCCTTTATTTACAAGTAACACAGTCTCAGTGATTTTTTTATGTAATAGAAAATAGACTAATACAGCTGGGCATGTTGGTGCATGCCTATAATCCCAGTGTTTCCAGAGGCTGAGGCAGGGGATTGCAAGTTCAAAGCCAGCCTCAGCAACTTAGCAAGATCCTGTCTCAAAATAAAAAATTAAAAAGTACCCCTGTGTTCAGTCCCCAATACAACAAAAAAAAACTAATTCAGAGACTCAATAAGGTATAATGACAATGAAATACAAGGGGTGCGGACTGGGGGTGCAGCTCAGTAGTAGCATGATTGTGAGGCCCTAGGTTTAAGTAAGAAGGAAGGAAGGACGGAAGGAAGGAAGGAAGGAAAGAAAGAAAGAAAGAAAGAAAGGGAGAGAGAGAGCAAAAGAAAGAAAAATTATAAAGAAATCATTTGAGGAAGGAAGGAAGGGTAGATATTAATTAATAGAAGAAACAAGGTAAAAAGAAGGAAAAGAAAGAAATGGAAAGAACAAAGGGGTGGGCTTGTCACTTGTTGTTCGTTTTTTAACCTCAAGAGGGACACCTTGCCAGATCAATGCACTTGCATCTTGAGCAGTTTAGAAACCTTCAATGGTCCCTAACCCCACATTCCATTCTCCTAACACCCAGAGTTGCACACGTGTGCAGTAGTCCTGATGTCCCCTACCCTGCTCTGTTCATTCCCCAGTACTCATCATCTCCTTTCCTACCATCTAATTGGCTTATTTGTTAAGCTTTCTATTCATTGCTGGATTTTCCCTATCCCTGCTGGAATGCAACCTACAGAAAGGCAAAATTTTTTATCTTTTAGTCTTTCCTGATTTGTTTGTTTGTTTTTACAGGGGTTCAACCCAGCGGTGCTTAACCACTTGGCCACATCCCCAGCCTTTTTTTATTTTTTGAGACAGGCTTTCTCTAAGCTGCCAAGTCTGGCTTTGAACTTGCCATCCACCTGCCTCAGCCTCCCTTGTCACTGGGATTATAGGCATTGCACCACACACCTAGTTCTTTCTCGTTTTGTTCACTGAATTTACCCCCACTTGAACAGAGTATAAAGCCTGGCATACATATGACAAGCACTTAATAAATATTTATGAAATAAATGAACAAAAGGAATAAATGAAGAGAATGTATATTTGCATAATTTCCTTTGCTCTGTGACTGATACCTTTTCCCATAGGCAGAACACATTTTCATTCACAGGCTTCATATTTCATTCACAGTAAAAGATCACATTCATGACCTTTGGTATTTTGTTGTTGTTGTTTGTATCCTAAGGAGAAGGGCAATGTTGCTTCCTTTCTTTTACTACTGTTTCACTCAAATAAACATTGATTCTGTTTATCAAAAACAGAGAAACCATATAATACTAGACATTGTATGACTAGATATTACACAATACCGTACGTCAAAAATAGATATTTTGCTAGGAACCCTGTAATGATAGCATKGAATAACTCTTTAGAAACGATAAAGCAAACTAGACAAGATATAGATTCTCAGTTCAAGCTAAATCTTGGAAATGATGTTATAAAGCAATAAAACCAAATTTTAAAAGGTTGTTTTTCCTTCTATCTAGTGACAGCCTTATTTGTTTTGTGGGGCYAGGAATTTAACCAAGGGACTTGTACATAATAAGCATGCACTCTACCATTGGGCTACATCCCCAGCCAAATAACTATAGTAAATTTCTCCTTTCCCTACATTTTACTCTTTGTAAATTATTATAGATATCTTCTTAGATTCCCAATTCCTGATTCAGATAAAGTAATCACTATGAATTTTTGAATCCTGAGCCTTGTATAAACAAAAAAAATTATAAAGAACTAATTTTAAAAATTATGTTAAGAATGGATTTCATCTAGGGGTGCAAGGTTATTTCAACATATGCAAATCAACATAATTTACCACAAAATAATAATTAGAAGAAACACATTATCATCTCAATAGATACAGAAAAAGCATTAGAAGAATTAAGTATAGCACCCATTCATGTTTAAAACTAGAGAAAATAGGGATAGAAAAAACTTTCCTCAACATTATAGGACTACATATAACAAACACAAAGCTAACATCATTCTGATCAAAGAAAAAACTTAAAGSATTTCTTCTAAAACAGGAACAAGACAAGAATATCCATTCTCACCACTCCTATTCAACAGAATCCTTAAAACTCTAGCCAGAATGATCAGACAAGAGAAGGAAATTAAAGGGATATAAATAGGAAAATAAGATGACAAATTATCAATTTGCTGATGAGATGATCCCATTATTTAGAAGACCCAAAAAAACTCCACCAGCAGTCTTCTTAAGCTGACAAACAAAGTAGCAGRGTACAAGATAAATACATAAATCGTTTCCCTATACTCCAATAAATCTGCTGAAAAATAAATTAACACTGAAGAATGAAATTGAAGAAGACATTAGAAAATGGAAAGACATCCCATGTTCTTAGATAGGCAGGATTATTATACTGCATGACCATCAAAATGGCCATATTAACAAAAACATTATGAAGATTCAATGCAGTTCCCATCAAAATACCAATGATATTTCTTACAGAACTAGAAAAAATAATCTGATGTGGTGGTGCATGCCTGTAACCTCCCGAATTCAGGAGGCTTTGGCAGAAGGATCACAAGTTCAAGATGAGCCTCAGCAACTTAGCAAGACCCTCAGCAACTAGTAAGATACTGTCTCAGGGGAATTAAGGGAAGGGAGGGAGGACAGAAGCAGGAAAGATGGTGAAATTATTCGGACCTAACTTTCCTATGTACATATATGAATACACCAGTTCGAATCATTATTCTAAGTACATGTATGATTGCACTAATGCTGTGACTCTACATCATGTACAACCAGAGAAGTAAAACTTTCTGCTCCATTTTTGTACAATGAATCAAAGAGATTTCTACTCTCATGTATAACTGATGAGAACTAATTTTTAAAAAATTAAATTAATACACTACAGTGAATTCCTACATCATGTACAAACACAAGACTGGGATCCTAATTAGAATAAGATGGACTCCATGTTTTTATAAATAAGTCAAATTATACTCTACTGTCATGTATAACTTTAAGAACAAAAAATTTTAAAAAATTTAAAAAAGAATGACACCCCCCACACACAGTCTCAAAATACAACTCAAAAAAGAGCTGGGTTTGYAACTTAGTGATAGAGTGCCTTTGTTCAATCCTCACTACTGAAAAGAACTAGAAGAAACAGTTCTAAAATTCATTAGAAAGGACAGGAGACCCAGAGTAGCCAAAGCAATCCTGAGCAAGAGCAATGCTGGAGGCATCATAATATCATATTTCAAACTATTCTAGAGTTATAGTAATAAAAAAGCATAGTATTGGCACCAAAACAGACACGAAGATCAATGAAAGATAATAGAAGACACAGAGACAAATACACATAGATACAGTCATCTCATACTTGACAAAATTGCCAAAAACATACCCTGAAGACAGTCTTTTGAACAAATGGAGAGCCATATGTAGAAAAATGAAACTGGATCAAAGCGGATCAAAGACCTAAGAAGTAGATCAGAAACTCTGCCACTGCTAGAAGAAAATGTATTGGCTCAACACTCCAACACACAGGCCCAGGCAACAACTTTCTCAATAGGATCCCTAAAGTTCAGGAAATTGTACCAAGAATTAATAAATGTATATCCATAATGTACTAATTTAAAAAAAAACTGTATAGAAGAAAGGTCTGCAGTGTAGAGGAAAGGGAACAAAGCAAGGGAGGAGAGAAGAAAAAGGAAAGTACTGGGGATTGAATTAGAGCAACTTATATTTTATACTTGTAAAATTATGTCAAAATGAGGGCTGAGGTTGTAGCTCAGTGGCAGAACACTTGCCTAGCAGGTGTGAGGCACTGGGTTCAATTCTCAGCACAGAATATAAATAAATGAATAAAGTAAAGAGGTCCATCAACAACTGAAAAAAAAACGTTTAAAAAATGAACCACAATGTTATGTATAACTATAAGGCACTAATGAAAACTATTTTTAAAGAAAATTGCATTTTCAAAAATTACTTATGAAAAAAAATTATTTATGAAGCTAGGCATGTTGGCACATACCTGTAATCCCAGTGACTTAGAAGCCTGAGGCAGAATGCAGCAGGATGATCCTAAATTCAAAGGCTAGCTTCAGCAACTCATGAGACTCAGCAATTTAGGGATATTCTGTTTCAAAATAAAACAATAAAATAGGCTGAGGTGTGTAGCTCAGTGGTAAAGTGCTACAAGGTTCAAAAGAAAAATAATTACTTAAGAACAAGAAGATTACATGAGAATCTACTGAAATATTTTAAAAAGGAACAGAGAAGCAAGAAGTGATGGCACACACTTATAATCCCAGCACTAGGGAGGCTAAGGTAGGAAGATAGCAAGTTCAAGGTTAGCCAGGGCAACAAAAAGACCTTGTCTCACAATAAAAAGGCCTGAAGGAGTAGCTCATTTATAGAGCACCTGCACTCCGAAAAAAAGGAAAAGGAAAAAAAAATGGGGGGTTGACATAGAAAAGTTTAAAGAAGACAGTTTCTCAAGTATCTATACCTTCTTTACCTTATTTGGTACTCCAAATATTCTTTTGGCATAGGTGAAACCAAGTAGTATCCTTAGCTGCATTGTTTTTTGGTGGAAAACTGGATTCATACTTTCCCCTGCCCTTCTCAGCCTCCCACTGCCATGGAAATGAGAGATGAGTCAGTTCAGGAACTTTGGGTCTCTTCTCACCTTCCACCAGACCATCATAGAATCTGAAATAAATCCTAGAGGGTAAATGGAGCAAAGGTTGAAGATCTCAACTGGGAGCCTCTGAAAGGTTTGATAGAACACAGTTTGGTTTATAAGCAAATTAAGTAAACTCTCGATTTTATATTATGTACTTGTAAAATGGTCACATAATTCTATGTGATTTTTTAAAAATATTTTTTAGTTGTCAATGATCCTTTATTTTAATTTACATATAATGCTGAGAGTCAAACCCAATACCTCATAAATGCTAAGCAAGTGATCTATCACTGAGCGACAACCCCAGACCCTCTATGTGATCTTTAAGGTAAAGGATTCCAGATGATGAGACCTTAGATTAGTTTGAAACTGACTTTAATTTTGGAGATGAATGGTCTTGCCAACTCTTTTTTTATTTGAAATACGTTAAAGAAAATAACTATGACTATTCACTCACTCTTTCTCCCACCCTGGTTCCAATCAGTGAAGAAATAACACACAGAGACAGATGTAGTGGTACATGCTTATAATTCCAGCAACTCAGAAGGCTGAGGCAGGAGGACCACAATCACAAGTTCAAGGCCAACTTCAGCAATTTGCAAGATCCTGTCTCAAAATAAAAAGGGTTAGGGATGTAGCTCTCTGGTAAATGCCCCAAAGTTTAATTCCCAGTACCAAATGTAAGTGGAGAGAGAGCCAAACAACCCATTTCTAAGAAAAGTAATCCACCCCATGAAAAAGGCATTAAACCCTCCCAAGGGTAGTACCCCTAATACTTAACCATCTTCTACTAGGCCCCACCTCTTAAAGATTCCACCACCTCGATACCACCACATTGGGGATCAAGATTACATGACATGAAATCCTTGGGGATACACTCAAACCATACCCAAATCAAAACAATGAGTGTTTCAGATGGAGGGTTGTGGATCCCAGTGGCACTTGAGGTATTTTCAGGAACAAGCCAGTGGTCAAAGGTACAATCCACATTCAAGTTTCCAATAGAATGGATCCTAAAAGAGGAACTATTGAAATGGTACCCAATGACTGAACAGATAGGCCTTAATTCTTGTTTGCTATACCTGTTTCTCAGCTGTGGCAGAAAATGTATCACGTTTTCATATACTACCCAAACCTGTACCCAAGAAGATGCTAGAACTTCCAAAAAATCTTAATACAATATCAAAACTATGATTGCAAATGTACCACCTGACACACTGAAGACCTAGTCCAAATTCCTTAGAGAACAATTAATCATATATTAGAATATTATTCAGCCTTAAATACGAAGGAAATTCTGACACATGCTACAACATGGCTGAATCTTGAGGACGATATCTTTTTTTTTTTTTTTTTTGGTACCAGGGATTGAACTCAGGGGTACTCAACTACTGAGCCACATCCTTAGCCCTTTTTTTGTATTTTACTTAGAGAAAGGGTCTCACTGAGTTGCTTAGTGCCTTGCTAAGTTGCTGAGGCTGGCTTTGAACTCAGATCCTCCTATCTCAGCCTCCCAAGCCGCTGGGATTACAGGCATGTGACATGGCACCCAGCTTGAGGACAATATCTAAGTGATATAAGCTAGTCACAAAGAGATAGATATTACATGATTCCACTTATATGAGTTGCTTAGAGTAGCAAATTCATAAAGACCTACAAGAAGAATGGGTGTTGACAGGAGCTGAGGGATAAGGGAATGGGGAGTTACTGTTTAATAAGGATAGAGTTTTCATCTGGAACTTTTTCCAGATGAAAAAGTTCTGGAGATACATGATAATGATAATTATACAACAATGTAAATGTACTTAAGCCACTGAAACATGCACTTAAAAATGGTTAAGATGGTAAATTTAATATTAGTATATTTTAATCACAATTTTTAACTTTTCTCTTTAATAAAAAATAAAGATTCTTGCCGGGCCAGTAGTGCATGCCTGAAATCCCAGCTGATACAGGAGGATCTTGAGTTCAAAGCCAGCCTCAGCAACTTTGCAAGGCAACTCAGTGAGACCTTGTCTCTAAATAAAATACAAAATAGGGCTAGGGATGTGGCTCAGTGGTTGAGTGCCCCTGAGTTCAATTCCCAGTATGAATAAATAAATAAATAAATAAATAAATAAATAAATAAATAATGTTACTTAGTCCAATTGTGGAACTAAGAACACTTTTTATTATTTTCTCCAACCCTTAACTGTCCAATGCTGGCAGATTACAACGAAATCATTAAGGTAACTCAAGTCTCTCTCAACAAATATTAAGTTTACATAGCTCTGTTCCATGGAGGAAGAGGTCCACAGAGGACCTCCCTCCAACATTTCCCTCTCCAGACCTACACTGGGAGGAGAGCTTTCACTCTACATTTTTTCCATCTCAAAGGAAGAGAAACACCTCTTCTGATTGGTGATGGTTGATGTTAAGAGTGTATAGTTCACTGGTGATCAAGGTCCTAGAGTTAGAGAGTTCACTGTACGTGTCCTTATCTTTGTTAGGTAAACAGACTATGCTGGGAAATCAGCAAATCAAAAATTCTCTTTCAGCTCCACCTCCTCTGCCTGTGTCTGGTATGAGTCAGATCATCCTCATGGGATGGACCTGACTGAATTTRGTTTCGAGTTTTCAGAAATAGGAAGTTCCTTCTGGCCTGGAAACCGAAAGCTTTTCTCATCTCAGTTTCACAAGAGCTGGCCTGAATTTAGGGTTCTACTGGGGGAAAAGAATGTATCAATCTCCTTCTGGATGGGATCTTTTTTTTTTAATTTATCTGTTCTAATTTGTTATACATGTCAGCAGAATGCATTTTGATTCATAGTACGCTAATGGAGCACAATTTTTCAATTCTCTGGTTGTACACAAAGTAGCCACGCCATTTGTCTCTTCATACATGTACCTAGGGTAATAATGTCCATCTCATTCTACCATCTTTCCTATCCCTGTGCCCTCTCTCTTCCCCTCCCTCCCTTTTGCCCTATCCAAAGTTCTTTCATCCCCCCCTCCCACCAACTATGGATCAGCATCCACTTATCAGAGAAAACATTTGGCCTTTGGTTTTTTGGGATTGGCTTACTTCACTTAGCATGATATTCTCCAACTCCATCCATTTACCTGCCAATGCCATAATTTCATTCTCTTTTAATGCTGAGTAATATTCCATTGTGTATATATACCACAGTTTCTTTATCCATTCATTTATTGAAGGGCATCTAGGTGGCTTCCACAATTTAACTATTATGAATTGTGCTGCTATAAACACTGATGTGGCTGCATCACTGTAGTATGCTGTTTTATGTCGCTTTGGGTATAAACCAAGCTGTAGGGGATCTTGAGCCTGTCCTCTACTGGCAGAAAGTGGGCAGAAACAAAAGAGTAGAGCATACAAGCTTCATTCCCTGAATCACTATGAAATTACCTTTTAAAAATAAGAAAAGTAGGACAAACATTCAAAAACAAAATCTTTTCAACTGAACACATTTCACTTTATAAATCTGATACCTTTCCAGGTGTGATAACACATGTCTGTAATCCTTGCCACACAGAAGGATGAGGCAGGAGGATCACAAGTTTAAGGACAGCCTCAGCAACTTAAAGAGGCCTGTCTCAAAATAAAAAATAAAAGGGCTGGGGATATAACTCATTGACTGCCCCTGAGTTTTATTCCCATGCTGGGGGCGGTGAGGGACTTGTTACCTTCTTACTTTGTCTTTCAGTTTGTCCAAATTGAGGATAATTTCCTAATCATCACAAGTCTATAAAGCTGCATTTGATATTTGACAGCATTCTTCTGAAGCACTTTTTTACTCTAAAATTCTATAATATGATACTCTCCCTTTATCCACAAAGGATATATTCCAAAACCTCCAGTGGATACCTAAAATCATGGAAGTACTAAACTCTATACTAGCTATATTTTTTCTATACATATATACCTATTATAAAGTTTAATATAAATTAAGCCCAGTAAGAGATTAATGCTAACAACAGAACAATAACAACAATGTACTATAATAAAAGTCATGGGAATATGGTCTCTTTCTCAAAATGTTATCGTGGCCAGGTGCAGTGGCACACACCTGTAATCCCAGCGGCTCAGGATGATCATGAGTTCAAAGCCAGCTCAGCAAAAGTGAGGTACTAAGCAAACAGTGAGACTCTGTCTCTAAATAAAACAAAAAATAGGGTTGGGGATGTGGCTCAGTGGTTGAGTGCCCCTGAGTTCAATCCCCAGTACCAAAATACATATATTATTGTGCTACACTACTTAACCTTGTGATGTATGATGATATATTGCTTTCACAATAAGAAGGTGAGTGGTATAGGCATTGGTTATAGAGCACCATGTTACTAACAAGCTTTTGACAATATAAGATGAAGCATCTTTTTTTTTTTTTCTTGTGGTACCAGAGATTGTACCCAGTTTAGTGGTAGAGAGGTATTCTACTGCTAAACTTTACAGCCCAGCCCTTTTTATTTTTATTTTGAGACAAGATCATACTAAGTTGCCCAGGATGGCCTCAAATTTGCGATCCTCTTGCCTCAACATCCTAGATCAGTGTGAATACAGGCATGTACCATCATAACTGACCAGAAAACCATTAAGCCATATGATTCCTGTTAACTGCAGATAACAGAAACCACAGAAAGACAATCACAGACAAAGGGGACTACTGTATTGCTTCACCATGCTTCCCGTAACCTCAGGAAATGGAGGAGATAACAGAAGACTAGAGTGGAAACCAAGGCTTAGTGCCTATAGTCAGCTTTCCTGAGGTAGCCAACTTACCAAGAGAAAAGTTTTAATTTGTCTCAAGGTCTTGGGAGGTTTCATTCCATGTTTGATCTGTCCTGTTTTTTGGGTTTTTGTTTACCTTTGTTTTGTCCTGTGGAGTCACAATACCGTGGAGTAAAYGGCAGAGCAAAACCATTCATCTCAAGGCCAAGAAGCAAAAGAAACAG